ATTCACTGTAAAATTATTATAAGCAGCACAAGACAAAAAATTCTACTTGTCTATTCTAAAAAAAAAAAAATGTATTAAAATTTTCTATTTTTAATAATAAATTTTATCTCTCAAATCAATTGTATTTGAATTATTAGAACAATAGAGATGTCATTTTGGCAACGATAAATACATCTTATCTTTGGCATTTATTAATGATAGATAAAATAGATCGAAAATGTTGACAATTCTTATTTCATAATAAATTAGTTGTATGAGTTTTGATGTAAAACATTGATAATTGTAAAGGAGAAATGATGCGTACATTTATACATGTTACACATGTCTAAAAAGATATTTCAGTAAAAAATTCATTTTTAAAAAATATTTTTTCTATTTTTAGATTTTTTTAGATAATGATCTCGTGTAAAGATTTTCCAAAATAATTTTTAATAAGTCATATAATTGACGCATATTTAATTATTAATTGTTCTCAATTATTCTAATTATCTAGTTTAACTTTTTTTTCTTATTTTTTAGTATAGAAATATATTTTCGAATACATGTCTTTAAAATAAATGATTTATTAACACGTATGGATTAATATATCACAAATGATGACAAATCCTTACCGGCCGATTTACAATAGAACAGATAATTACCCAGTTTAGATTTATTTAATAATATAAGATTAACAAATTTCTTTGTTATCAGTAGTTCAATTATTTTTTTTCAACTACTATCGTTGTAAATAACTACGTCTTTTCGTGCTTGACTTTTCATTTCTAGTATTTTCTAATGGTTGCATGAGTAAAAAAACATGGTACCGTTTTCTTCTCCATCATGTTCGCTAATTTTTATTAATATTTCTCATTATTTATCTAATACAACGTAAATCTGCAGAAGAAAACTTTATTTTTTCTTTCTTTTTTTTTTTTTTTTTGATTTGTTAAATATCATTTTCTATTGCATATAAAGGCTATTATTAATTAATCGATAAAACCCTATTGTATTGAAATGTGTGAATAGTTCTTCTTGTCATGAGGTCGTAAAGAAGAAAAAAAAAGGTTTTTTATTTTAGAAAATTTATGAAAAATGAAAAAAAAAATTCTTTTTTTTTTTCCCAATAATGATTACGTGTAGATTTTGTCTAAAATATTTCTCCATCTTTTCTAAAAACTACATTCTATCGTCTCTCAACTAAAACATGTCCTTTTTTCTCTCTACAAAGGAATGTCTTTTTACGTTCTCTTTTTATGTTCTTTCTCGTTGATATAATGAGAAACCAAATTTTTCTTTTTTTCTTGGAGTTTTCTTCTTTGTTTTTTTTTTTTTTTTTTTTTTCATTAACTATCTAATAATAAATTGAGAAATAGATAGATACGTAAAGCCCAAGTGTTTTCTCTTGTAGATTCGAATATTGTTCGAATACAAACTCTCTCCCACCATCTTAGACTGAACATATTTTTTCTCTTTTTTTGTTCTTCGACTTGGTTTCGAAATTCTGTCATCTGAAAAATTTCGGTTTTACGCACATACGCGTAATTTTTTGTTGTTGTTGTATATTACATAAATATGAACACACGTATACACCTTTCTTTCTGTTTGTTCGTTCAAATGTAGTAATAAGAGTGAGAAAAAAAAATGAGATACAAACATTCCTTCGAGATATGAATAGAACTAATAATTGTAATAATAATAATAATAATAATAATAATGATAATAATACTAACAATGTTATTGAAAAAAAATCTAGTTTTTCTACCTGATCTAATCTATACTCGATTTTTTAGATATTCTATATAAAAACACAACGTCGTTACATACTAAGAATTATTATTCTATTTCAAATGTAAAATACGTAAAATTCTATGTTTTCTTTTATATGGAATTCAGTAGTATATGAACCAAAATTGTTAGAAGACGCCAAGGTAGGTTGAAGTTTAATATATACTTTGTTTATGATGTAAATTAATTATTTTTATCTTGAATATCATTAACCAACGTCATAAATTGACTAGTTTAAGGTTAAAAACTATTCAGAATCATCTTCTTGCATGTGATGACTACATCGTTAAGAGCTCCATTGAACATATTCGTTAACATTTTGATAAAAACGACTCAAATTAGTATATGAGAGAAATAAAGACTATACAATTTTGATATCTATTAGGCGTACAATTATTTACAGATGTCATCTTGTATGAATGATATCTGGCGTTTGACAGTTGATTCTAATAGACAATGAAAGTTTAACAGATCATACAAAAGGTTATTAAGTACAGAAAAAATTTCAGAAATTTTTCTTTTTATTATTTTATTATTTTACTTGCATATCTGTACTGTCAATTTTGAAATACATGAGTATAATTAACAGACCACGAAGTCTAGAGCAATAGGAATAAAACGACAATATTGACGGATGACGAGAATAACCGTTCTTTTATATGTCAACTACCATTTCTGGAAAATGTGATATGAAATTTTACAGTAAAGTTAGTTTCCTATGATTTATCGAGGTGAAAAAAGTCGGACGTTTAAGGTGTGAAAATTTCTGAGTTAAGATATAAATTGCGTTGCGTATAATTCCTATTATGTGTGGGAATTACGATAATCTGGACGATTGAAATTAGATATGATTCTCATAGGAATCACAGACTAATTACATACAACAGAGGCCTTAAATGAGCAATATGTCTATAATATTTTAAATATTAAAATAGAAGATTAAGGTTTATCTCTTATTCCACTAGACTTATATTAAAGAATGAGGGCGGAAACCTGATCAATACTAACACTCATCTAAAGAGTATTTTTCTTTGTGTTTCTTTACCTTGAAGTACTCATTCTTATTTAAAGTTTAGTTTTCTAATCTAGTGAGAAAACACGAAATTTGCTTCATTTGGCTTAAAGAGAAGTATCTCACCCTAAAATGAATGAATTCGCACAAAGCATTTATCTTTTGTGTAGTATATATTTGTGTGACACTTACGAGTAGATCACAGACGGTAGGTACTTTACCATCTCATTTTCCCATTACTTTCATACAGTTTCAAAAATTTGCTGCAGGCTTTGAAGATAGAGAATTTTCTGCTTTAATAAACTGTGTATATTTGACAACAACACCTTGTTTTGAAAAAAAGCGATAAAAAGCAGGTTATATTTTTTACATTCAGTATACTAGATTGTTTGATAATAATTCAATATTTTAACAACATTGTCTTATTCATGATGGACCATCCAGTATATCTACTTTGTGCTTACAAACATATCTACAAACAGATATTATTGAATACAAAGAAAAAATGAAGATAGGGACTATTTTTGCGGTAAGGCTATGTCAATAGTAATTCTTTAACGAGAAAAAATTTCTTTTTTTGGAAGTTTCATCAAGGTATTTCTTGTTTCTTACAATAAGAACTCGATATCTCACAGCATGTCTAAAAGATTCCTAGATCTAAAATGACATATCACATGCCACCATGTATGACATCCGAAATAATAGGAAAAAGTAGCCAGGGAAAATAAGATACACATAACATGCAATAATTACTGTTGAATAGATTTTATATTCAGACATCGCTCCTTTTATTTCTAGCGAGTCCATATAGAAGATATTTTCAAGTACTGAAAAATTTGAATCAATAAACTTTTCCGTAGAAAATAAGGAAATAAAAGAGACATTAAAAAACCAATAACAACGTATTCAAAAATCATCGAATACAATAGAACTTTCTAAGTTACAAACAACTAAAATTATTTTTTACTACATGTAAACCATTGTAGTTACAAATGGCATAGATGAATGAGAATGTTGTCTCATTCGAATTTTCAGTAAAACTATTTTGGAAAACTCAGTCTAATTCTTAACAACCAAGGCACGGTGGACGATTTTTCACAGAGCAAGCAGACATCTGCTTTTTTGAGTTAAAAAATGATTATTTTCTCATAATATGGTCCTATTATGTGTCGGATATTAATAGAAGTATAAAGGCCGACATTTTTTTTCAATAAAAAATCCATTGGGGGACCCTTGCCCAAAATTTTTGTTAAAAACTGTTTTATTTGTAAAACTAACAAATTATGCATCATTAGATGCAGTTTTTCATGCTGATTTCAAATATCACATTGGTTTTCAATACCAATATTTCTCGGAAAATAATATCACAAAATCAATGGTTTTTGAAAAACCTATAACTCGACTTTAAAAAATATGTGCATTTTTGTGCATTCACCATAGATGCAGCACATGTCGACGAACATTTTGGTGCAAGTTTGAGTTAGATTCAAGGTTGGATGTCGGTGCATACCTCATTACAATTCAAGGACCTGTACTGACCGCGAACCCGTTGCTAAAATTATGTTTTTTCTGTCTGATTATTGATCCTAATCGGAATATTTATTTACTGTTAGATAGCTAAATGAGTCTAGATTTCAAATATACACTTTTTATAATTTTGGATTGACTTGATTCAATAGTAAAACTGGTTTTTCCACAAATGTCGCTAACACATCGGCTATTTTTACTTCTATTTTTTTCCTAAAGTTCGCCACTTGGAACAAAAGATTTTACGCTATGAGACAGCCAACCATTCGTAGTCTATTCGACACTACTTGAATTTTGAAAGAGCGCACTTTCGAATTTTTACCAAATGTCTGCATGGTTGCCCACTGTGCGAGGGGATTCTTCTTAACAACGTGTCGACGCTACTCACAAAAATAGAGATTATGGATCTTCAGTATGCTCCAGAGCTGGAACCAAGCCAGTAGAGACCGGTATTTCACCGGTTGAAACTTTTGAAACATTTGCTCTTTTTACCCTATTTTTCGTCAAAAAACTAAAACTTCAGGTCTTTTTCAGTCAGAATAAATAAGACGATGCTCAAGACACCTATTGTTTTCATCACTTGTTTTAAGGTTAAATATTATAGACTCGTTATTGTGAAGATTCTCTCACATGTGCTCGCAGACTATTTCATTTCTGAGGAAAATTCTTTCTGAAAATCGATTTTCAAAAAACTTCACCAGGTTTTCGTCGGTATTTTACCGGTCTGAGTAAGAATTCCAGCCGGCCCGACCGGTCCAGTTACGCTTTCAGACCGGCTGGAGTAGACTGGTTTACCTTTTCTCAACCAGTTCCAGCTCTGAACCGAATACTCGCCATATGATTCTTGTATACCATTTCTTGAACGGAATGGTATAAGGTGTAGTGCTACAATCATATCTAATGTGTCTACGCCTCCTATATGCGTGTTATACTGACTAACAATTTGCGGTGCTTTAATATCAATACGACAATGTTTTAATTTAGCTCGATGTTTCAGTGTTATTTCTGGTGCTATACCAATATGAGTTGAATTTAGTAAAAGTCTTTTTGAGTCTTTCTATGCTATAGTAATACATTATTATTATCAGATATAAAATATTCATAATAGCCACGTTCTGTTTTTCTAAATTGTTCTTCTGTTCACACTGGACAGTTGTTTAACCTATTTGATTGTAATGTACACGTGACACCATAACCAGGTTTGGCCATTTCTTTAATCAGTTTAGTTGATGAAAAGTAATTATCAATAAATATAGATGAACCAAGTGAGATAGCTACTATGAAATATAATACGACCATTCCTCACATATCTCGTTTAGAATCCCGTTAAAAATGTATCGTTTTTCAGTCAATCTTGCTGATCTTAAATCTTGTTTTCGTCCGATCTTGACGAAACTTTTCATAAATGTTAGGTTTAATGAGTTACGGGAATGAAAATTTTTTTGTCTCCAAGTCTTACCGTTTAGGAGTTTTCCAGAGATCAAGATCCAAAAAGGACCCTGGAGTATTCCCCAAGAATTTTTAATATACTTCAAGCTGAAGAGTTCGGGTTTGTTTTGTTTTAAGCTAGATCCCCAACTGCATGGACTGACCGGCGCCGATTTTTTGATTAAGCCTTTATTGGTTTTTCAGGTAACCAATAACCTCCAAAATTCGAAAAATCCTCTATTTGACAAAAAACTGAGATCTAATTCAAAAATCGACGCCGGTCAGTCTATGTAGTTTCTTTTCGTCTTTTAAACCAAAAAAGAATGAATTCTCTACGACAAATCGCTATTAAAACTCTTGGGAACTTCTTCAGGTGTAACTCCCATGTAGAGAAAACGTTGTATAAAACGCTCAATTTTAGGACTTGTAGAAAAATGCCTGTAACTTTTTGACGCAGGGTCATACAGAGTTGTGCGACATCTTACTTTAATCCTAAGAGTTTACTCTACAATCTACGCGTTGAAGAACAAATTCAATCCCATACGTATTCAGGAAAAAAACTGTTATTTGAAGATCCGGTTTTTCGCGGCTCCTAGAAAACTTGTTCGAAAGCCGCAAAACAGTACTTCTATTACCGAAAGCGATACAGATTCTAAAAGTAGACACTTCAGGCTATCTTTCCATGTGCTTATCTCAGAATGGATGTTTTTGTTTGAAAATCATCATTTTTTGGGGGGGGGGAGGGGAGGAGCCCTGAATTGAGGATGCTCTGAGCTATCTTTGAATTATTTTCCATATCACTGACTATGTTATATCCGAAAATCAACCCTCATCTTTATAATAAAACAACTTGTTTTATTCTTATGGGCTACAGGAAAAAGTAGCAAAATGTTTAGTGTCCCAAACGACTAAGTAATGACAGATGCAAGTCACATAAAGCAAACATTTACTCAATACCCATGCAAGTGTTCGACGGATAAATCGACTAGTCGATTTTAACGTTTTCGACACCCGTCAGAGGCCAAAATCGACGTTGGAATACCATTTGAGTTTGTCATAGAGTATTCAGAAAAGTCACCCTTAAAGTTATGATTTTGTTCAAATGGAAAAATTGTGTTTTTTCAGACCTGGATAGGTCTTGCATGAGAATTAGATGCATTCCAGCCAAATAGGAGTAAAACAGCTGGGCTGTCCATATGCGAGAGTTTCTGTAATAGCCTGTTCTTCATAAAAGTTTAGGAATTCTGCAAGATTTTAAAATTTTCAGGATGTCCGGTAATATTTCGTTTAGAAGAGACACTTACCGTTTCGTTTTGTCGAGTCATCTAATATAGAACCAAATAGTGGAACCAAACCGGTACCAGATCGTTTTTGACTGGTTTCGAAAAAAATATTTTTGTAATTTTTCGCATACTTAAAGGTATCGTGGATTACAAAAGAGAAATGAATTCTATTCTATTTCTTACCCAACTGTATTGTTTTTTTACAGCTAAAATGTTAAAGATATTGTATATTTATTTTCTCATATAGAACTATGTGTAACCTCGCTTACGCCACCGTTTTTCTCAAGTCGAATGACAGTACTTATCCTTGACCTAATTTTCAAAATTCAAAAGTGGTCACAGGATTTTAAACTTCTTTTTGAAACCGGCCGGTTCTTATTTTAGTTTACCTGTCCATCCGGTCTGGTTTTAAATTTGAAACCTGTAACCGTCAACAGTTTCGTTTTTTTTATAACAGTTCAACCTCTAATCCTGTCTGCAATATTACCACTAACAACATAATTTTTTCATGTTGATCACAATAGACAATTATATATCTTGAATGAATACAGACAGTAAAATGTTTTTTATTGATCTATACTTCAACAAATGATACAAGAGTCGTTTTAGAAACTCATCAAATGTTTAAGCATTTAGTTGTTTAATTTACTTTTTTTGTTACATGAATTAAAGTCAATTGAAATAAACAAATTATCTGAAAAGAACGATCATATAATTCCAGCATGCGAATTTCACAATTGTTCGTTGAATCTAAAGTTCTTTGATCGTACATCGCCCGATACCTCTCTCAATAAATGTCACCAAGGTGTTTCACAAACGTTTTCCCAGGTCAAAAACAACTGACATTCAGTAGGACATAAATGGCCTATTAACGAAATGACTAGTAACAGGATTTCAACAGGCTTTCAGTTGTGACAAAATGGCCAGTTAACAGGCATCATTTATTTTCCTTCATCTACCCTTTAATGATGGCCTAAAAACTACTATGTATCTCACGGTGTCTTCTCATAGAAAAAGCAGAATTTTGTTCTTTTTCGACTATATAAGTCATCGACACTTGTGTTGAGGAAGTAGCTACTGATCCTAGGTATGATGCCCGTGATGGCACCGATCATACCTATGGAGCCGGAGCCGAAAATACAAAAAATTGAAAAGTCATTTATGTCATAGTAGCAGTCAGAAAGAAAATTAGTCATGATCAACAGTCGGATTCTTGGCCATAAACAATCAGTGATTAAGCAAAAATGGCCATTAAACGGTCACTATTAAATGCTTGGTTTCAGCCTTTTTCTAAAGGGCGTTAAAAAAATGCCATTTTAAGGCATTAATATCTTTTTAGTTATACTGCGGAAAAATGATCAAAAAACTGTATTAACTAGCTAAAAAATATCATTTAAGACACATTTTGTGGGCTGTTAATAGACATTTAATTTTACCGTTTTCATGGGGCCTCCCTATAAGAACTTTTTCTTCTAACAGTATCCAATGAATTGATCACTGTTATAATACACTTTTAGCGTTTAGTGCTTTTTCTAAATGTGACAAATAGTCTGCATGCGAGATATATTTGTATATTACCTATGCGAGAAGACAAAAACATATTCTAAATACAGATTATTTGTTTCTATAAACATACGCTCACCAACATTACAATTGAAAAAACTTAATTTCTTCTAATTTTTTCAATCCCATTATCTGATTCATTTATAGAAATCATTTTTTCATATATGAATTATCGTTGAACGGATGCGTCGAATAGAATGTCGGGTGAACGAGTGGCCGACTGTAAAATTAAAAATTAGGACAAATACAAATCTAACGTGTAGTACTTTTCATTCTATGCTTTCAAATAACAAAGAAGTTCTTAAAAGTATTCGTGAATGTGAAATATGTGAACATATGAGTAAAAGATTAGGTTTGAATTGATCATTTATTGTTTTACGTGCAACGTCAGATATTTCTGTTAAATTTTGACGTTTTGAGATAGTAATATGGGAAGAAAAACGAATAATAGAAATGCTCAACAGAAAAACAGAATATATTCATGTGTCTGTAATTTTCTCTATGGTGTCAGCCAAATAGTGTGTTATGTCTTGTCTCACTTTGAAGACAATAAACCTCACGTACTTCCTTCTTTTCCTTAAGAGTACCCCGCCCCCCTCCCTCTTTTTTGACCCTCTTGAAAATCGAGAAAGCCGATGTCGAATTGAGGAGAAATTTATATCGGAGATGGACATCGAAAAAGAAAATCGATGTATTTTTGTGCAGAATTTTCTGATGTGCTCTTCTATGGCTTTTCTAGAAAACTCCAGTTTTCATCTGGGCACATTACGACCCCTCGAAAAAATGGTCCGATTAAGCTCAAAATTTTACCACAGATATCCCATTACAGAATGTAAATTTTTCTTTTCGAAAAATACGCTTTCCTGCTCGAGATATTCGAAAAATACTAAAAATCCTGTATAAAAAAAAAGTTTTTTATTTTAAAAATCTTCTCACGTCGAAAGTTGAAAGCGAAAACGCTTAAGAAAAATTCACATGTTGAGATAGGACTCGAAAGTATCTGTGGTAAAAAAATTTTTGAGGGATCGTAATGTGACCCGATTGAAGGCACTATCGAAAAAATGCATAGTGAGAAAAGGCACTATCGTAGGACTCTGTTTTTTAGGGCATTTGCGGTCATGCGTATATCTTCACAAAAACTTATCAGAAAATTTTGGAAGACGTCTCATTTTGAAGAGTACGCTTCCTTCTATCGTGCTAAGTTTAAGAAAAAGTTTTGAATATGTAAGAATGGAGGGAAAAATTTACGAAAATTGAGTTTTTCGAGACTTCGAAAAAAAAATTAAAAACTGTCTAATTTTTTCATGGAAGGTCATAAAGAGCGGGAAGTGTTCTCATTTTATAGCCCATACTTTCCTCTATATTAGACTTTGCTAAGCTCAAAATGAAACTTTTCTGCAAAAAAGAGGCGAGTACCCTTAATGTATTCCTCTTTATTTTTATTTTCGTTGGTATTCCTGGTTAAATGTCTAACCAAAGTTAAACTTAAGTTGCATTGATCACTACAACAAATCTTAATCTAAGATGAATTTACGTTTATTGACTTGATCTTCCACTCTTAAATTTTTTTTTTGTAAAATACATTTTCTGCTAGTTGAATAGACAGGAGCACGATTTTGATCTCAGACGTGTGTCTTTTACTCTGCTGTTTTTGTTTTCCCCATGTAGCTTTTTGTAATAGTTAGCTCACTAGACTGATAAATAAAAAAAAAGTTAAGATAATAGTGAAAACTTGTTTGTTTAACATTTTTCTAATAGAAAATTTTTTTTCTTTTTTATTCTGTTAGAAATGAGGTGATCACTTTTGATGTTTGATTCTAAATTGTACTATAATGTTTGTTTACTTTCTGTCGATGTTGTGTTTGTTAAGAAAAATAATCAAGTGGTATTATGAATTATGTGATGCATATTTGATTTGATACAAGAAGAATTTTTTCTTGTAAGATAGAAACTGTAATTTTTCTTCTGTATATTTACTATGTATTTCTTCTATCAATATTATAGCATTACTTCCAGAAAAGTGTCTTTTCTATTTCTTGTTTTTTTGTCTATTATACAGACCAAAAAAAAAAAAAATCTTTTTTCACTATTAATACTAGTTGCGTCTCAATAGTTAAAACGTTGCCAATTATATATATAAAGAGCATCTGCGCATTTTCGATTTACGCTAAATCAAAAGCTATGAAGAAGAATAAAGAAGAGAAAAAGAAAAAAGAAAAAAATCGGTCAAACGAACGTAGAATAAAGAGTTCAAATACAAAAAGAATGAGAAAAAAAGAGATGTTATAACCATTGTGTAAAAATATACAAAATACAAATTTTTTTGATTAATAACAGATGAATCGTGTTGTTGAAAATATTAGCGTTGCATTCGATACTGTATCAAAACAAATTTCATCAAAAATAGATAAATTAAAATTTTTATTACAACAAAACGCTTATTTCAAGGTAAACATATAGATATCTCGCTTTTGTCGGTTATTATATTAAGCAAGTTCATTAACAGTTACTTTTTCTATTACCATAAATTTTAATGATATTTTTCTTAGCAATTCATTATAATGCTGCCGGAAGGATTTTAAAAAAATGAAAAATGAAATAATTTGTTTTTCCCCTATAAGCAGTGTGTTTGTCGTTTTCAGACGAACATACAACAGATACTTGAGATTCTAACGCATGAAAGATTTTCTTATGCCTCTTATACTATTATTACTGACACTTCTCATTGATAATTAAGTAATATCAGGAGTTTTTTTTCTTCTTCTAAAAATTAAACTGAATCAATTGTATCTCGTTAAAAGTATCTTGTACTTGATCTACCGGTAGTAATAAATCTTCTTATCAATTGACATTATTTCAGTATTTTATCAAATTAAAGTAACTGATTGGCAGACATGTCATTTTTATTCTATTTCTATTATACTATTTTTATATTTTTTTCATTATTGACGATCTTGCAAGATGTGTTATGTATGAAACGACAATTACAGTTCAATCTCCTTAATAATCCCTGTACTTGTTTAGATAATGATATTTTGTCAGATGTTAAGAAACGAAGAAAAATAAAAATATTGCCATACATGGCTATTTTCTTTCGCATCAGTTCAAAGCGTACAAAAAAAGAGAGACAAGTGTTATATTTCGTCCCGAAATCATAAATAAGTTAGAAAATAGTTCATTTTTTTTTTCACTTGTTTACATTGTATAGAAACAAAGGAGAAAATATTCACTAGCCAACTTTTTATCTAGAAAAAATATTCATTTATGCAAAATAAGAAAAAAGAGTGAGAAAATATTTAAAGTGGACTTGGAACGTGATTATGTGAAGTTGTTTCTTTAGATAGAGCAAAATTCTATGAGAGTGGATTGCATACAAATTTATCTTTGCACTAAAAACTAATACTTCAAAAATAACTATTTTTGACTAATTATGATAATGGGTCGATGTTTTTCGTTTCTGACATTCAGCAGTCTAATTTTTTGCAAATTGTTTTGACGATTAGTATTGTTAATCTATCCAATACAGAAATATATCAAGTACATATTGTATATCATAAAGGCATAATCGAGTTTCCTTAAAAAACAAGATTTAAATTTTGTCAAACAAGATGAAATGAGGGGTCTAAAACAATAGGGATCAGCATTTCTGGCTAGTGAGGATCAGTTAGATTGCAGGATAATCTTATACTAAGGGATGTAAAAGTTTGTTCACACATAATGGTTTTATAGTTGGAAAAGAAACGATGAGAAGCGATGGATAGACTGCGATTTTATGAGATAAATCAAACGACCTTTGTAATGGTCAGAGACATAATATAAATAGTCGTCTATTTT